AAACCAACTTAGAGGTTGGCTGGAAAACCAACACCCTTCCTAAGCCCAGGATAAGGATCCAGGCTGCAGGACGTTTTGTCGGAATAACCAAACATTTTTCTAAATTGGCAAGAATAACCAATTTAGAGGTTGGCTGGATTAAACCAACTCTTAGTACTCTTCAGTCGAAGTAAGGATATCGGCTAAAGAGTGGTTGGCTGAATTAAACCAACTCTTAGTACTCTTCAACCGATGTAAGGATTTCGGCTAAAGAGTGGTTGGCTAGATTAAACCAACTCTTAGTACTCTTCAACCGATATAAGGATTTCGGCTAAAGAGTGGTTGGCTGGATTAAACCAACTCTTAGTACTCTTCAATCGATGTAAGAATATCGGCTAAAGAGTGGTTGGCTGGATTAAACCAACTCTTAGTACTCTTCAATCGATATAAGGATTTCGGCTAAAGAGTGGTTGGCTGGATTAAACCAACTCTTAGTACTCTTCAACCAATGTAAGGATATCGGTTAAACAGTGGTTGGCTGGATTAAACCAACTCTTAGTACTCTTCAACCGATGTAAGGATTTCGGCTAAAGAGTGGTTGGCTGGAAAAACCAACACTTATTGTTCTTTAGCCCAGATAAGAATCAAGGCTAAAGAGGTTGGCAGGTATGACCGGGGTAAAGTATCTCGGTCGGGAAATATTGTGTTTTATTCAAATTGTAGTAAGAAAGCAAGCACAAACAGGAAAGTAAACCAAGATAACAGTTGGGGCAAAAGCAGACTTCATTGAAAAATTCAAAAGCAAGTACAAAGGGTGGGGCCTCAGCCCGGTTACAATTTGTTTCCAAAAAGAAGAAAAATACAAAGTCAGTTAAAAAGATCATCAAGGTCGACGTCAATATCAACTCGGAGCCCAGTTTCATTCGGCAGAACGGTCTCGGTTAGAAGAATGGTTTCAGTAGGCAGCTCGTTGGTCAGGTCTTCCACCATTGGCTCCAACCGAACTGACTGATCGGTAGGATCACTGACAGCCGGGGTATCTTTGGGCACGGTTTCTTCCTCATCATCTGAATCCTCAAGAAATTGTTGCTGAAGGGCAGCAGCGTATTTCGTCATAGAGTTCGGAATAAAGTATGCAGGAGCGTCGAAGACCTCGGTCTCTGGACCATGACCGAGCTGCACTACAGCCGCCCTCCAACCGCATTTGAAGAAGAGATCCTTGGCAGCTTCACATTGTTTAATGTAAGTCGCCTCCCCCTCCTTGTAACCCCGGGGCTCGGCGTCATTAGCGCTCTTCTTCAGCTTCTCTATCTCCGCGTTCTTTTTTCTCTCAAGCTTAGCAAGTTCGCGCAAATATTTGTCTTTCATCACGGCTGCAGCTTTTTGTTTTTCTGTTTCAGCCGAGCTAACAAGTCCAGCCAGACAACTGTTCTCGAAATTTAGCTCGGCTATTTGCTTCCTAGCTTCTTCTAGTTCGGCAGTTTTTTCAGTCACTTCGGCCATGGCTTGCCTTGCAGTCTTGCGAAGTTCCAGCACACGCTTATGGGCGATGTGGCTCTTCTACATGGCCTGCAAAAGAAGGGGAAGACTTGTAATCAAACCGAGATGAAAGTTGTGCAAATTAGAAAGATTAACAGAAAAAGCTACTTACAAGCACCATGGATTTCGTGGCCGGACGAATGGCTTTTAGTTCGGTCAGATGTTTATGGTGCTCCATGTCTGCTGGAAGGCAGACACTCTTGGCAAGGTTAAATGCCATTAAGTGATCTTTTTCAGCGACCACTAAGTCAGTGTCCTGAATTGCTCGGTTTTTAAATGTAAATTTGGGTGCCCACTTGGAGGAGCTAGCTCGGTCTGAGCGCTCCGGTCGCGGGCTTGGTGGAGAGCTTGGTGGAAGATTGGTTTCGTCTTCCATCAATAATGCGTTGCTCGGTTGGGGTAGTCCGGGCATGCTTACTTGGGTGAGACGAGGAGGGTTGTTGAGATGGAAGGGCCACCACGGTTTCCTGAGGCTAGTCTGGTGATGGTACCTCGGCTCGGTTTGTTTCGGTTAGAAGGGCCCTTATTCTGTTCCTCTTAGCCATCTCTTGTTCAGCAGTAGTACGGACCAGGTTAATTTGTGGCAAGGTTGGATCCGATTCAGGAGATGCCTCCAGCAAGAAGTCTGTTACTCTGGCTTTTCGTCGACTGTTGTATCTGTACGTCGGTTCAAAATTCAGTAACTTAGCCCAACTTCTTTCAGGGTATCGTAGTGCGGCGCGAAATGTGTTTAGATTGGGGTAACTGTATAGTGATTTAAGGTGGGCCGAATCTGCATAAAGAAGACAACTGTCAGTTCGGTTAAGGAATAGAATACCGAAATAAAGAAGAACATGCAATAAAGCCGAGGTAATTATACCGGTGGTCCCTTTATTCCAGTTTATTCGGTCACCAGGAATCTGGGCTTCTTGGTCTTCGAAGTTCCCAGAAACCCAGAAGAAATCATCGTTGTTTAAATCTTTATCTGGGGTATCTTTGATTATTTTTTCTCGGCGGCGTCGTATTCTCAAATAATAAACCTAGCCGTCTCCTTTTGATCCAACGGAGTATTGATGAAAGAGCTCAGCTAGGCCGAGGTTAAGGCCAACCCGGTGGTTTAATGCGGCAATACCGTTTATTATACGGTAAGAATTGGTGGATAGTTGGGTAGGGCAGAGTTTGGTTTGCCTAAGGAATTCACAGAGAAGGGGCTGTACAGGGAAATGTAGACCGCACTCTACAATTGAAATAACGTTAAAAGGGACAAAACCATGTTTTCCCCAGGGGACGGTGTCTAGCTCGGCCAGTGAAAGGTGGACATCATCTGGGATTTGGTAGTCCTTGCGAAATTCAGCCATTACACCAGGGGAGTTAACTAAAAACCTATACTTTCCCATTTGTGGTTTAAGTTATGAATAAATAATACGTGGGTGTTAGCCCGGTCGGAGAATGGTGCTGAGTAGCTCGGTTGAGCGCTCAAAGAGTGCCTGGGCAACCTAAGTCTACAAAGTGAAAAACAGAGGTGTTAAGCACAGATCGAGGGACTGTGCTAAAAGAAACACAGGCAAGATAAATGAAGTCCTGGCTCGGCTATGTGAAGTGCTTCGTGTCTTAAGCTCAGGTTTTGGGCAAGGGGTCTGTTAACTCGGTTTTAGCAAGGGATTTGTTAGTCTGGCTGAGCCTCTAGGGGTAGCATTCTTCGTTCGGTCAGAGCTAAGAAGGCTGGTTTAGCCCCAAGTTGTAGCTCGGTTGTGGTTTAGACTTTCAGGCATACTATTGCGCACACCTAGTACGGATCGATAGCTCGGCTAAATCAAATGAAGCAAAAGGTGGTTTGACTTGGTGAAACTACTAGTTCAGCATGAAGTGCTAGTCCGGTTGATAGCCTGTCTAGATTAACATCCACTACAAACAACTTCCGAGTTCGGTTATATTATGATTTTGGATCAAAACTAGTGTTTCTCATATTATTTCTTGAATCCAAGTGGTTCTATTACTAAGTGTTTGCAGAAAACACAGAGCTAAGTAGAAAATGGAAGCAAACAGTGTGTTTTGAAAAACATGTAACGTATTGCAAAGAGGGTGCGAAATCAACCAAAAGGAGTTAGAAGGTTGAGTTACTTACCAGATTACGGCAGAAAAATCGAAGATGGAAGCAACGACAGTGAAGAACACGAAATCAGCGAGCTCAGGGGTTGAAGAAGTAGAAGCACAAAGAGAGAGAATGAAGGAGATGAATAGTGTAGTGGTAGATTCAAAATGAAAAAGTTTGTTTTGTATAGAAGGAAGGACAAAAAGGGCGGGATTGTTCAAAAGTTGTGAGGTACGAAGAACGGCGTGACAACTGTACTAGGCCAATAAGAGTCTGCCACGTATCTATTGGGATAAGAAACGATTCAGTTGCTCTAATTGAAGAGACGTTTTGACCGAACAGGTACCACCCTGTGTGGATTTAGTTCGGTTAGAAAAGCTGAAGAGTTTTAGCTCAACTGGAAAGGCTTAAGGATTTAGCTCGGTCGTCAGGCTAAAATTGTTAGCTCGGCTGATAAACAGATAATCCCAATCATGCTACATAAATGGAATTAAGGGACAACTGAGAGGGTAATTTATAAGAAAATTGGGCCGAGCTGGGCAATGCGCCGTTATGGGCCACAGTACGAAGGACTGAGTAAAATGGCCATGAAGTTATTCCGGTCCAAATGAGGCTTGAAGTTATTCCGGTCCCAAAGAGCTACGGATAGCTCGGTCACCATACTAAAAGTTATACCGGTCATGGCGTAGTGGTATTAGATCGGTCGGAACCATGCTAATTGTTAGCTCGGTCCAATCATACTGTGGTTTGTACAGGGGGAACCGAGGTAGAGTTATCTCGGTCTGATCTGCGGCTTAGCATAGCTATGCTTACCTCGGTCATATTGAAGTCCGACCATGGAAAAACCATCTCACTTGGTTTAAGCAGTGAGGGAGGCATTGAAGGATAAGCATTATTTTTCAGGAGTGTGAATCCAAGGAGGACTCTACATGGAGGAGTAAGAGTCCTATTAGGATTCTGCCATGCAAAACCTATAAAAGTTCACAACATCACCTTTGGAGAGGTAACACACAACTTTGACTCTCAAATTCACAAAACTTTTTGTCTGTTTGTCTATTTTGCTGACTTAGGCATCGGAGAGGTATCCGGCACACACCCGCTGGCTAGCTCACGTTTGTGTTTTCAGGAAGTAAAGCGACGACGTATGGAGGAGGGCAGACTTGATCAACAGGATTATATGAGAAGAATATTTCGTACCCGTACATATGGTTTACTATTATTTATGATATTAACAACTAATATTGAGAGTAAATGTGTCAACTTCCCACAACTTATGGAAGCATAAGTTTTTTAATAGGAGCATATGTAGCATAAGTCTCCCTAATAGGACTTATAAATAATTTCTCCTAAATTTTTAAGACAATTTTTTAAAATTTTATAAATATAAACTGAAAACGGATTGGTTACCCACACAAATAAATTTCCCTCTTATCTCATTTTCATGACGCTCAACTCTCTCTGTGGGTCTGTCTGTCTCCATCTGCATCTTCCATCTTCGTGCGACTCAGAATCACTCCCGCTGGCAAGAGCTGGAATTTGTATAGCATCAATGTCGAAGCCACTGTAAGTTGCTGAGCAAGTTGTTGCAGCTCTTCGTTGTTGACAAATTCACGAAGGATTGGCCGTGTCTGCACATCTACCCGCTAGGTTATTCTTCTCCCCTCCTACTGCAGCTCTTCGTTGTTGCTTATCATCCGTAATAATCTATATTGCATATTGATGGAATTGCTTATTAGGTTTTTCTATTGCACAGGAGAACCCTTGTTTGATCGATTCCAAGTCCTCTCTTTGCTCAAGTATCCCCTCTGCCTCCTCTCTCTATATTGAGGTATTGTGGTTTGAAATTTACACTTTTGTTTACAAATGGCTTGAATTCGAGCTTCTTCATTTGGTTTCTTCATTAGCGTTTTTCTTCAAGGTAAGTTTCTTCTGCGTTCTCTACTTTTCTATTGTATCTTGCTAATTTTCACTTCCATATATGTAGTATCTTTCTCTCGACCTTATTTGTTTGCTGGATCTAGCAGCTTCGATGCATTTTCAAGTTTAAAATCTCTTTTTTTTCTCTTATGCACCCCTTATTTATGTAACTTCGTTATATGTGATTATTAAGCTGAATTGATTCTGATCTTCTTTCGTTCAGCTTGAACACCGATTTGATTGCATTTTGATACACACAAGCAAGCATGTATGATTGTGTTCAATTTGCTTAACTTTTTGAGTGGGAACTTTTGCATTGTTACATTATTATTGAGCAAAACATGAATGAATTTGAGAATGAAACAGTTTAAACTGTTAGGTTAGTACACATGACTATAATGTAATTTGAGATACTATACAGGATCTTTCCTGCATTAGTGTGTGGAGTTTTTGTTGTTCATGATGCCATTTAGTAGGTTATTAACATTATGGTGGTTTATCAACTTAGGCAAGACCATTTTCTTCGATGTTTTCTTATATTTCTGCTCTGTTACTGTTAGGTATTTGGCATCTCTACTCTACAAATATTTTCTTCACATGGATTGGACTATTTGTTTTGCTGTCGTAGAGAGTCGTGGGAGGTGAATTTTATTCGTAAAAATGTCAGTTGTAAGTTTCATATTGTACAAGTAAGACACATAGAATGGTGCAGATACTCATGAATGAAATACACTATGTAATGCCCGTGGCTACTGAGGCTGTTCAGCTCACAGCTAAAGCCCATTACTCTGGCAAATTGAAGGAGGAAGTCACTGCAGTCAAGATCCAGATAGCGTTCCGAGGATATTTGGTATTATTATTCTCTCCCATAAATGCCCATTTTGGTCTAATTTGAGTTAGTTCATGAAGTATGCATTCTATACATGATTTCTTCTTTTGTTTGCTTTGTCGTTCTTCCTTAATATGTTGTTTTTTGTTTTGAAAAAATGCCAAATGTGCTTGTGATTATGACATTTGTTGGATTTGAGATCATTTACACACTCGTGTATGGTTAAAATCTGGCCGGTAGCTTAGCCAAACTGTGGGAATATGTTGCGGGAAGTTTAGATTTCTGATAACTAGTTGAATTTCAGTTGTGCAGTTAGCATTATTAAACTGAATTTATCTTCTTATCGAGTCAATGGCCTGTTCTGAATAATCTTTTTTGACTCATTCTGTAGTTTGTTATCATTTTCATTTTTCATTCTGCATTAATTGCCTACTTTAATGTCTGGACTTTTACTAGTAAATGCAAAAAATCATCGACCACTCTTTCAATTTGTGAGCCAAACTTACTGCATTTATGATGAAATCACTTGATAGGTTTCATCTTCTAGATAGATCCGGATATATGAAAGCTTAAAGGAGAGTGTTAAATTTAAATAATTGAAGATGCTTGTGCATAGTGTATCCCTCAAAGTTGAAAACCCTTGAAAGAGAGAATAATTCCTTTATGGATCCAATAGGGCTGTGAATTGTTTACTCATTGTTTTAGATAATTCAAAGTACACAGATTTTGGATGCAAAGCTGAGGTAAAAAAGTAACACAGAACGAGTAAAAAAAACTAACATTAGCTCCAATTCAAAAGTGGTGTAGTTCAATAGAAATAGAACAAATACAGGTGCTGCATACTACATACTCATCATGTGTGCAACTCATCCCATTGCCTAGTTTAATTGAAGCACTTTAGGAATTGGATTTAAACAATGCAACTGGAGGCCTTTAAACAATGAATGTTTTATAGTTTTGTTTCTTTTCTTTCTGTTTTCCCCCTCCTTCAATACGTGTTGACTCAAAGTTTGAGTATAAAATAGATGCAAAATTATGATGGACCTCATGGTTTCAACTATGAGTCTTCTTTTACACTCTTTATTTATGTGTTTTTCCTTTCCATTTATTTGGTAAGTAAGCATTTCATTGATGCTCAATCTGGATTTTCCTACAACACTTGAATATTATCATTGGAGTCACATAGCTCTATTGTCACATGATATATCTAAGGCTCTCATATTTGATGTCTTTATGTAGTCAATAATTGTTGAATACGGACACACTACCCTTTTGAAGTGGTTGTTTTCTTAGGAAGGATTACTGCTCTTTTTCAGATCGCTTACATATATACAAGAAAATATTGGTATGCATTTTGGTTTTAATGCTCCATTGTCATATAAAATATTAGTTCTATATCCCTATCTAGTAACTCTTCCTCGAGTGATCTAAAAGTAAGTTTTAGTATATTTTTTCTCTTTAGTTATCGTTGTGTATGATCAGTGGTGGAGCCAAGAAATTAAATCAGAGGGGACACTTATTAATTACAACGTTAAAATTTTTTACAAAAATCTTTCACATAAATTTTTACGATTGACTTTAAGAAAGATAAAAAAAAAAATTATTTGTAACTAGTGTATCATAGACAATATAAAAAAAAAAGTCATGGATATAAGTTTTAAAATAAATTATATAATAATAAAGTAATTTTTTATACAAAATATGAGTAAAAATTCAATATAATAGTAATACTGCATCAACGTTGACACGTGATATCACTAACCAATAGTAAAAAAACACATGGAGGATGAACTCAACATGTCAAAATGTAACTAACAATTCAATAAATTTCATATCTTTATAAAGATTAATTATGTTTGCATATCAATAATAATAGACATCACCATTATATTGAAATTTTCATAAATAATAATATGACTTATCGTAGTCTCATTATTTTCAATCAAAACAACCATTATTGTTATCATAATTTAAAAAATGTCATTGACAATTTCACTCTAAATAATATTTTTATAATTTTTTTATTTAAAATATTTTCTTTATGCCTGCAAAAAAAAAAAAAAAAAAAAAAAAAAAAATTTCAAAACCCAGGGGGCACGGGACCCCCTTACCCTCTTTACCTACGCCGTTGTGTATGATTTCATTTTTTCTTTGATTTTGTTGCAATAGGATGATCATAAAATATCTGATACCAGTGAAGCTTTTAATAGGCATCCTACCTAAGTTTTCACTCTTGGAGAAGTATTACCTGCTTGAGGTATAGGCTCTTTTGTAATTCTTCTTTCTTTTTATCACATTTTTGAATATAGAACTATCTATATAGAGTCGTGTTTGCTTTCAAGTGTACTATCATATGATATAATTGCTCTGTCCACAAAAAAGAAAATTGCCTTTCGCACAAAAAAGGAAAGAGGAAAAGAAAATCATATGAGCACACTAGAAGCATGATAATATTGAATGTCTACTTTTGATAGTATTTTTCATTAGTGAGCAATAGATCTGAAGTCTAGCCCTACTTTTAGATGTATCAGAACTTTTACTCAGTATATATATTGATAAAAGCTTTAACTTCAGATACATTTGAGGGGCAAGATTTCTTTCACACTAGTGCAATGTTGATATCCTTTATTCTCTTAGGAAAATATTTGCAGGTAATGTCATGTCAGAGATAGAAATCAGCACTCAACTACTACAGAGGAATGACATTTTGAACACCGATTCCAGAGGCAAAGGTTCCTGTTAATGGTATTGTTATTAATGGTCAGAGTCATGTGAATGAGGGGTATGATCACAGGAGAAGCAAAGCCAATAGCTAAGAGACCTAGTGACACGGTTCAGATGGTTTATTTTCTCTTAGTAGTAAAATTGATACTTTTGACATTTTTAAAATGTTTAATTTAATGGCAATATATATATTTTTTTATAACATCATGAACAGGTTATTTGTGGCACACCCATGGATGAATGTAATCCACTGTACGGCACCATTCATGTGCCTTTTTTTTTTATTCAAAATATAAAAATTTGACAAAAGGATTCAATTTTGTGTGTGTGTTTTTTTTAAATGTCATTTGAAGAGTCTCTTTAAATAATTTAATGCAATGATGAAATTTAAACAGAAGAACCAAAAAAATAATGGCAACAGTCTGAACTCACCCTTCTTTTTCCTTTTTGTTGGTGACAATATGCAGATTCAGTACTGCCCAGAAATTTGACAAATTTGAAAGTTGACCCTAAGTGTTGCATAATATCATATTCTGCTTGCCTTTTTTTTTTAAAAAAAAAATATTTTGTATTTTATTTTTGCAATTAGAACAGTTTAAAATCATATTGTTGTTTCAAAGTCCAAAATCTGGCAAGGGAGCATTGAAATTGATGTTTATTTTCTGATTCGAGTGTTTATTTTCGGACCATATTTAATATTGTAATCTACATACTACAGTTATCCAAGATTCGATGAAACAACCACTCTGTCCAAATCGTAAAAGTTTTTCTTTTTGATTTTTGGTGTTGTGGGATTTCATTTTTCCTTTGTTTAACAGTCTGTTTTTAGTTCTAAATGCAAATTAACTTTTTTTCCTTTGTTGACATCCCATTTCTTTTCCCTATTCTACATTGATTCTGGAACTTTTTTTTTTTTTTTTGATCTGCAAAAGAAACAAACTTCATTGATGACATCAGCATACACTAAATATGGAATTATATCAATAAAGCAGAGGCAAAGAGCAACAAGTATCATAGTGATTTCCTTAATTCCAACTAGATTGGCACTAAGAAAAGCGTCCCTATCATCTGCTAGCTCGAGCCAAGAAGTTGGCGAGGGACCAACAAGACTAACAAAACAACCAAGGCAAGCCCCAACAGGCACCTAGAACAACAATGACAGCAACGATAGTAGCAGCAAGCAGTACAAGAAACTTAATATCTCAACCCAATCTATGCTCACCCTTTTGAGTTGAACTTTGCCCATAAAGCTATTCTTACTCTCACCAATTCTTTTAGCTCCTCAAAATCTGGCTGGCCTTCATTAAACAAGCACTCATTTCTGAGCTTCCAAATAGACCACATTACAGCTAGAGGGACAATCTCAGAACTGATTTCTTATACTTAACACCTGACCACCACAGCATCAGATTCTCAGTGGAGCAAGGAATAGCCCACTTCAATCCCTACCAATTGATTACATCAGAACAAATTTTCCAAACCAATGAGCAAAATAGCAAAATATGATTCACTGATTCCTCCTCTATCCTGCAGAAATGGCACAAAGTGATAGCAGAATTATTCAGTAGACCAATCCTCTGCAAAAAAACAGAGGTTTTAATCCTCCCCCTCTAAGCTAACCCTCCAAAAAATTGCACTCTTGGAGGGGCAGCATTGAGCCACAGACAATTTGAAATTCTGAGGATAGGACCTCTAGTTAGCTCCCCCCATTTCCACACTGAAGCTACACTAAAAGATCCTGATGAGTGGGCTTGCCATTTGCAAGAATCCTCCACACCATTGTTAACATTTGGTATGTTAATGTACACTAAACCTAACCCACTAACCTAACCCACTACATCCACCCCACTAAACCTAAGTGTGTTAGGTTTAGTGGGGTGGATGTAGTGGGTTAGGTTAGTGGGTTAGGTTTAGTGTACATTAACACATATATATGGTTTTAATCCATGAGAAAGAAAATAGATTCATTTTGTAAAAGAAAAAATATATTGAATTTAAATATTTGGTTTCGGCAATTGTTAATTGCGTTTGTTGTTGTGTTTGCACTCAAATGTATGTGGGAGGTTTCATTGTTTTTTTATTCCAGCTGTCTAATGGTTCATGGACTTCTTTGTGGGTTCTAACAATACATCTTATGATTTACCCTACGGTGTTTAAGTATATATGGAGTTTCGACTAGTGTGTTTGGTTATGAGTTTTAAAAATAATTTCTTAATTGACTTTTATTTTATGTGTTTGGTTACGATTTGAGTGTAGAGTTGTTTTTAAATTTAAAATATTAACATTTTAAATTATTTAAATTTTTTGAATATTTAAATTATTTAAATTTTTACGATTTAATTTTTTTGAATATTTATTTTAATTTTTTACTTTTTAAATTTTTTAGATTATTTAAATTATTTAAATATTTATGATTTTAATTTTTTGAGTATTCAATTTTTTGAATATTTATTTTGAAAAAAAATTATTTCCTTTGTAGTATTTTCAATTAAAAAATTGATTAATGTTATTTTCTGTTAATAATAAATTTTTTTAATTGAATTTTAAAAAGAGTTTGGTTATTAGTGTTGATCAAAATTTTCAATAGTATGAAAGTAGTATGTTTTGTTATGAGTTATAATAATTTGAATTAAGTTTTGAAAACCCTTTCCAAAACTTATAACCAAACAAATTTTCTTACTTCACATGTCAAATCAAACTTTCAAAACTCAATTCCACACTCAATTCAATACTCTATTCAAAAACCATAACCAAACAAATTTTCTACACTCAAATCATAATTCCACAACTCACAAACTCAAAATACAACTCATACTTTCAAATCATATTTACAAAACTCTACCAAACACAACCTAAATTTATATATCATTCAATACTCAAGATCCAAGAATAATTAAAAAAAATTAAAAAATAAAAATTTTTGCCAAACGGGCCTGACGAAGTTGAAATCGAGACGTAATATAATTTGTTTTTATCAATTTAAATAGAATGGTTCACGACACTACAACTATAATAAAACTACACAATTCAAAGGATTTGTAAATTCATACCAACTCAACTCGAGTCAATGCCATGATTAAGTATAGTTATCAAATAAGTTTCAAAAATTAAATTTATATCTTATTTAATACTCAAGACCCAAGAATTTAAAACTAAAAAATAAATAAATAATTGCGAAGTGGGCCTTACGAAATCGAAATCAATAAGTAATATAATTTGTTTTCACCAATTAAAATAAAATGGTTCACGATACCACAACTATAATAATGATTATAATAAGGGCAAATTTAATTGGATTCAACCCGTTACAAATCTCAATAGGGATAAAGAGAACATTCACACAAGGAAGATACACAAGGAGGATATATGAGTCTCCACATAAGGAGAAAAATAATAATTCTGCTTCTAACAATAAAAATATGACACCATCATGCTTATTATGTCAATAATGGTACATTTCCTACATTTTTATACGATATTTTGTTTGACATCTAATGTATCGCATGAGTCTTATTTGTTGGTAAATGGGTTGGGTTTCAGACTCGGGTTTAGGTATCCATGTCCCATAAGAGACCTACGTGAATTTAAATTAAGAACTATCCTGATAGACAAGTATAGCACATCATCCCATCTTATCTAGGATAAGGATGAGTGGTTACTTATCTCAACTAAATGATCATATTTTGATACTATATATGTATTATTGTGAGAGTGGGAATAATAAGCAGAACGTAATATTTTGTGCATAAAATATCTGAGCTCTCTCAATCTCTATGCCATTAGAACTAGACACAAGCCCTTGTATTGTAACTGTGTGGGTGTTGGGATTTCAGCCGGTGATTTGGAGGCACGTGATTCACTCATCAGGTTCATTCTTTTCAGATTCAAGATATTCAAGTATGTATTGAATCTGTTAATCCGCTGCGTATTGATATTTCTACATTGGTATCAAAGCCATCTTGAGTGTTTTCGTGTTTTTATGCATAAAATATGATTTAAACTATATATATAATCATTAAAATATGTATATGTACGTTTCATGCAAGAAAATTGATGATTTTCAAACTATCTCCGATCGTCTTGAAATTCATATATGTTGTAGTTCATATCACATAGAGCATATTTGCAAAGTTTCATTGAAATCATGTGATCAGATTTTGAGAAAAATGAAGACCCATTTTGTATTTTCGAAACTTTAATTACATGTTTTAACATGTTTCGTTTTCATGATATGAAACTTATATATTTGGGTTCCTTCTCTTGAGACCTTCGAAACCATATATTATTCGCATGTTTTCTACTTACAGATTGAGAGAAAACATAAACCCTAAGTGTGGTTCATTTTTGTATTCTTGGTGGTTCATTGTAGAAGATGAAGTGCAGAGAATCTGCACTCTGACTCTCACAAAAGAGAGAGTGGATTACACTCCCTATTTTAGACTTGTCAAAACAAAAAACTGAGCCCACCATTGGATTCCTCTTGAACAATCGAGTTAAATAATGCCAAAATCAAGCTGAAATTGAGTTCGAGAGGTGGCACATGGGCCCCACGCACTGATAGCTAAAGCCACATGCTTCTACACGTGGACTGACGTACTGACATGCGCACTGATGAAAGCACTGTCTGACGTGTGCTGAGGGCATCGCCGATGTAAGTCAATGACATCATTACTGATGTTAAAAATCTATGAAAATCAATAAAAATTGAGGCAAAATATAAAAGTAAAATTGTGCAAGCATCTATTAGTTGTTTTTGTTCCTTCTAGATTCCTTTTTTTCTTTTTTCTTTTTTTTTTCTAAATTTTTTAGATCTTTGCACTTTCTTAAAATTTTGGATCATGTTTGTTTTTAGTTTATTTTGTAGATTGAACGATATTGTTGGACCTGTGAAACCCATCACAGGTTCTGTTTTAATAATCTTAACCGTATAATGTATAGAACTCGTCGAATATTTATTCTTATAAAAAAAATCACATTGATCGGATATCGATGACTACTTGATCAGATTAGATTTTTGTCAATAATTTATTTTAAAAAATATATTTACTATTGATAAAAATCTGATTTGACAACACGCTCCCGTCCAATCTCAAATCGAAAAAAAGCCTGATCTTAAAATTTTTATTTTCCTTGTGCATTAGACATAAATAGGGGTGTAAATTTGGCCCGACCAATGTGGGGGCCTTGCGGTCTCCTGCCAAAATTCAGGCCGGCCAACGAGCCAGAAAATTAGGCCCAGGCCTAAGGGGTATTCGGGCCTCGGGCTGGGCCGGTGGGCCTGGGTTTGGGCTTGGGCTTGGGCTTGGGTCAGGCTTGG